TTCCCTTACCTGCTCGACGGCACACTCCTCGGCGCCATGAATGGCCTGGCAAGAGTGCGGTGAGAAGTCCATAACCCGGCGAGCGAGCGTAATGGGATTTTTAACGGTCGTGATTCCCGACACGGCCCCGCATCGTCGATCACGACCGTCCATTATACTCGCCTCCATTTCCACCGTCCCTCGGGCAGTCAGGGCCGACCCGCGGCCCGAATTGAAGAACGGGTCCGTCTCCAATTCCCTCACCACCATTTCAACCACGTCGACGGCCGCTGCTCCGGCGCTCAGCGCCGCAGCGCCTATCTCAAGGCACCGAGCCAAAATACGCTTCGCCGCCGCCTGACGTTCCTCCGGCAATCTCGGGTCGACGCCGGCGCCGCCGTGTACCACTATAGCCCAGCCACCCATTCCTTCTTTTGTGATTGGATGGCTGAGATTTGCTGTTGCTGGGAGAAAGATGAACTTCGAATTTATAGAAGGGGGGAATATTCCCGGACGTGAGGAAGGTTCGTGAAATGGAATTTTGGGGAGGGGTTGGAGTCCGGGGGGAGATTCAGCTGTGCTGTGGAGGCCACGTGTGAATAAATCTTATAAAAGCTATTGCCGTGGGGAAATGTGTAACATTTTGGTTCTGCAGCGTTGGATTTTGTGTAAGATTCGTGCAGGATTAGTGGCATTTCTGAACACGAATCGTGATGCAGAATTAATGGATGCTGACGAGTGATATTATTAGTGCGGCCATTGAGAGTTGGTTTGCAAGTGGGTGTGCGGGAATCTGGACTGGAATCTGCCTGTCGATTCCGGAACCTTGCAAGCTTTTTCCGGTGATGATTTTAATATTAATAATATATATTATCTATTAGAATTTGTAGAAATTTATTCAGTAAAATATGTAGATTATATCAATGATATACTTTTTTAGATCTAGTTATATAATATTTTAGTTATATTATTTTTATGAATTAATAATAATGCTATTCTCTATACAATTTAATTATACGTGTAAATATTGAGGTGCCATGAACATCCTTATTTGGGAATTAAAGGAGATAATAAAAGAATCTTTTTCATGGTAATTAGGGAAGATTTTTAAATTTGAGTCATCTATTTAGTAATTCATATCACAACATTCATTCAATAATTTTTTTACTATAAAAATCAAGACATGTGATTTTATCGAGATACATTTTAATTCACTTAATAAATTTAATAATTAAAATTATTAAAAATAAATCTTCTTGGACTAATTTTTTCCTTACATTTAATTATGAAAATAAATAAAATTATTTTAATTTTGTTGCAAATATTTATTTTTTAATTTGTTTGTCATCATGATGATATTAAGGGTGTACACGAGCTGACTTTGAGTGTAAATTTGGGTGTACACGAGCTGACTTTGAGTGTAAATTTGGGTGTACACGAGCTGACTTTGAGTGTAAATTTGGGTGTACACGAGCTGACTTTGAGTAAACTCAAATTTTTAATATCATATAAATTTTATTATTTCCCATACACGAGCTCGTGTATGTTCAAACTCAAAATTTTAATATCATATAAGTTTTATATAAAGTTTGTACACCCTTACTTGCATAAGGGTGTACACGAGCTGACTTTGAGTAAACTCAGGCTTGGCTCGTGTTTGATTATTTTCTTGATTCTTTTGAAAATTCGAAGTGGTTAACTTGTCTATTTATATGTCGTCGTATAAATCATTATTCGAATAAATCTTCCTCCTGGATCATATAAATGATTTGAAGACGAGAGGAATCGAATAGAAGCGATAAACAATAATAAATAGACAAAAAAAAAAAACAAGTGAAACGCTTACATATGGGTAATTCTCATATGAAGGATTGAAGTTTGCGTCTTAACATGATCGAATTGAAGTACCTCGAAACAATAACATCTACGAAGATAATCCCAACATAAGCCACCCATAACCATTGAACCAAAAAGAATATTTTGGTTTTGGGGTTAAGACTCTCTCAGAAGAATGTATCCTTTTGGTTAATTACATCTTGAAAAGTATCCGAAAATAATCTCGGTAAAAAATAATTTTGTTTATATTATCATAAACCTAGAAAATAAGCCATCAAAAGATGTTTATTTTGTATGGGAATGCATTGATGCTTCCAAAGCTCTAGCTAAGTCTCAGGGCAAAGAGTAGGTCTCTCACATCCCAAATGGATAGCGGCTCGTCGACATCAGAACATACAAAAATAACCAAAATTATTTTGACAGGAATATTCCTATATGTTGGATTTCACCGTGCTATAAGGGTAGATGGTGAGGCAGCTTGTTGGTAATCGGGCCTAGCTGCAAAGTTTTTTCACTGTTTGTAAGGAAAACTAGCTACAAAGTTTTTTCTGTCCTACGAACCTCCCACAATCTTGTAGAATGAACTGGCTAAAAAGCTTTTCTCATTCTTCAAGATCGAACTATCCCAATAACCTTCAAGAAAGGTTAAAAACATAAAAACCATCGGAAATTTGGGATTTTGACCAACCTACATATATATATAAGATTATAAGGGAAACTCTCATATTCGCTAAAAATGTGTCCAACACAACCCTCCTAACCTAGGGCTTCCTCTAGGAAATCAACGGTCAATCCAAAGGTAGTGGTCGTGCCGACAAGCGTCGGCCATCCAACTTGCCTCGTGTGGGCGACTAAATTCGTGTGCATTTTTATGGTTGTTTTCATTGTGCTTATGTTTGAATTTTTATTTCGATTTTTTTATTGAATTGGTGATTTCTCATTATTCCGCAATGTGATTTAATTTCAATTGATTTTAAGTCTCGATAAAATTGGGATTATTCATAATATATATATATATATATATATATA